TTCGGACACTGTGAGATCTTATGTTGCAAGCTTGGTAAAAGCAAAAACTCCTATTTTTCTTTACTTTCGAGTATAACAGGATGAGCAATTTCCTTATGATGAAACTTGTCTGTGTTTATGTTTCGCAGAACTTTGTAGATTTAGCTGGGAGTGAAAGGGCATCACAGACAAATGCAGATGGTGCCCGGCTTAGGGAAGGCTGCCATATCAATCTTAGTTTAATGACTCTTACAACAGTAATTAGGAAGCTCAGGTCAGTATTTGCATTCACTTAGACATGAACGTATATTTGGGTTAGCTTAAAAAGTTAATTTATAAGTAGTAAATAAGTTTGTTTTCAAATAAATATTTTTTGATTGGTTAAATTTTCCTTCACAAAATAGCTACCTGACCAAGGAAAGTGTATCACAAGTTTTTTCGTCCTTGTTTCCACAGGGTGACTGGATAGCTTACCTTTTCTATTTAGATGGTAAAGTTGAAGATTGGATATCACTGAGTCTATGTTGAACAGACTGAAGTGCATATTTTTATAAGATTTCTAAATAGTAGTCAATTATGAATTGTGATGAGTGATCAGAGATTAATCATTTTTAACTGTAATGGGAGATTTTTCATCAATCTACTTTCAGAATTATATGAAATATCATGTACAGTTTTTCATGATCCATAGTTGCACTAGTTAATTGCTTATTTTCACGACTGTTTGCTGTCAGTGTGGGAAAACGAAGTGGCCATATACCCTACCGAGACTCGAAGCTTACACGCATATTGCAGCATTCACTGGGAGGAAATGCACGGACTGCCATCATATGCACATTGAGTCCAGCGTCAAGTCATGTTGAACAATCTCGTAACACTCTGTACTTTGCTAGCCGAGCAAAGGAAGTGACTAATAATGCTCAAGTTAACATGGTAATTCTAAGTATTATGTGTTCGTGTACTTAGGTTATATGTAAGATGAATGATATTTTTTCTATTATCAACACAGTAACTTAGGAATGTATTGTCTTGTTTGATTGTTTACATCAGGTAATTTCAGACAAACAGCTTGTCAAGCATTTGCAGAAAGAAGTAGCAAGGCTCGCAGCAGAACTACGCACACCAGATCCATCGAATGAGAAAGATTTCAAAATTCGGCAGGTTAGCCTAAGCCAATTTTTGTTTGTTTAAAATGGATTGATTTTCTTGAAGTTACTCATCAAGTATCCAACTTTCAATTGGTTTGATTAGATGGAGATGGAAATTGAGGAACTGAGGCGTCAAAGGGATCTCGCACAATCTCATGTGGATGAGCTAAAACAAAAACTTAACGAGGATCAGGTCCCTCTCTCTCCCTCTCCCACTCCA